CAAAGACCATCAATCAAAAACTGAATGCTCACAATCATAACGTAAAATTTCTTCTATTATTTATATTAGAGAAATGAGAAAATGATGTGTGTGATCATAAATATTAATTAATTAAACAAAACCGACACCAATAATAGTGTGTTTCCAAATTTGCGACGATGCGAGATGCAGTAAAAAGGTAAACACAAAGCTTATAATAAAAACATTTTTAGTTACTGTATATTTATTAAATTGGAATAAAAAAATAAGTTTATTTGGGTGAGTTTAATTATTCAAAAAAGCCGCCTTTTCACTGTCGGTAAAGAAGAAACCTGCATTCAAACAATGTTCACTCTTTTATTGATGTCCGTAGCCACCAGAGGCGCTAACGTCGACATTGTGCCAGTTAAGTACAGGGGAATGACTTCTCTCGTAGTTTACTACTATTATATTTCTCTATGAACAAATCCATTCACGTGTCAACACCTTTAAACAGGCATAAAAATCCAAAATTTCCTAGGTGGATGGATGATCATCTAAAAGGCCTTATTTTAAATAAAAAGTCCGCTCATAGTCCAAAAACTTATAGAATTTCATCATCATTACTGTATTATCAAAAATTCTCCCAGCTTCGCTCGGAATGTCGTCAGTATTTCCCAATCAGTCATCAAAATTATCTTGATAGTATTGAGGATAGAGCGCAGGAAAGGAATGGGTTCTGGAGTTACATAAACTTAAAGAAAGAAACAAAAGGTTTGCCTTCTTCAATGTTGTTTGGGGATCAAAAAAGAGATACGCCCCAGGGTATTTCAAATCTTTTATGTGAACATTTCTCATCAGTATAAACATCCTATGACCACAAAGACATGAATATACATATCTAGCGACCTCTCTGTCAATCTAGGTGATATCATTATAGAGCCCATAGATGTTTAGAACAAGATTATCAACTTAAAAATATAGGATGTAGTCCAGATGGTGTTCCTGTGTGTATTCGTATTCTAAAGAACTGCATTTGTTTTTTTTTTCTTTTATTTTAAATATTAAATAAATCCTATCATCTGGGACCTTCCCTAATATCTCCGAAATCTCTATTTTTTCAAATCAATCATTGCTGTGTATTTGAAAGATAATTTAGAACGAGTTATAATCCCAAATCAACATGGGTTTCCTGCCGGTCGGTCAGCTACTACTTACCTTATGAATATGTTCTTCCATGATTACATTGTCAATGCCTTGGAAAATAGATTTAAGTGGATTCAATCTACACAGATTTCTCGAAGGCATTTGACAAGGTTGATCATTTTTCACTTAGTCAAGTCAGAAACTTCATCGTATTGCTTGTTCATGGCACCTTACTTAAATGGATTGAATAGTACTCGAGTCAACGTACACAAATAGTTGAAATTGATAGTTCTTGTTCACTTCCAATCAAAGTTACCTCTGGAGTTTCCCAAGGGGCTCATATGGATCCACTTTTGTTCAACATTTTTATTAATGATATTTCATCTTGCTTTGGTTTCTGTCAATTTTGAATGTTCGCAGATGATCTGAAAATGTTTTTAAGCATTGAATCAAATAAAGATACAGTCAAAATCCAAAAAGACTTGATGGACACTTTTCATGTATGGTGTAACAAAAATAGATTGTTTCCTAATATATTTAGATAAGTGTAAGACATGTCGTCAGTAAAGAATGTAGAGGAAGCTCAAAAGCTGTAGCTGCGCACAAACTATGTAAGTCACAACCTGCTCGAATACGTTTCTGGAGCAAAAACCTACGCTGATGCTGTGAGTATCTTAGATAACATCTATATGAAACCACAAAATGGAGCACTTAGAAGACATATTTTTAATACGAGGAAACAGCAACATGGAGAAAACAGGAGGCAGTACATTCAAATTTTGAATCAGCTCAGCAAAAATTGTAACTTCAAAAACGTAACTGCCAAAAAACATCGTAAACTTTCCATTAGAGATGCATGCATTAGCGGCTTATTGTCAAATGAAATTCGTCAATGCCTCTTGGAAAAAAAATAATCTAACTTTAAATGAAACAACATCACAAGCTTTATCTCTTGAATCTGCTCCAAAACATTGTGAGGTATACCTACCAAACAGCTTCAACAACAACTCTGGTAACGCGGAAAATCCTCAAGTATAGCAACAAAGATACACTGTTTTGAGTGCTACCGGGAAATTTTCTACATGCTATTATTGTGGAAATAGAAGACATGATCGCTCTCTCTGTCCTGCCCTGCATGCTACATCGGACAACGCAGTAAAATAGGTCAGTCTCTACTGTTTATCAAATTTCAAATCGTGGTACAGCTGCATCTATTCTGTCTCAAATATTGGCTTCTGTTCCAAACTTCTCTGCGTGCACAAAGCAAAGGATTTTGTGTTGTCAACCTCAACATTCTTGATCATCAGTATACAAACGTAAAAGTTTCAATGCTACCAGGCCTCTGTGCTGATATTTTCAAGGATAATACCACGAGAGCTTCAAAATTACCGATAATTTTTCACGATTGCGTGTTTTCTATAATTTCACGAGTCCGTAGGACGAGTGAAATTTGCAGAGTTAACACGCATGAGTGAAAAATTATCTGGTTCATTTTAAAGCTCAAGTGGTATTTAGAGGATTATTTCACGTACGAGAATGCAAAAAATATCAAAAATTAGCATGACAACCATGTATACAATAACATGGGAGAATTATCGCTGTAATTCTCTCTAGTTAAACAAATGGAAAAAAGAATTTTCGCTGTAATTCTGAAAATCGTAACTTGACTTATGGGATTTCTAACACAAACGGTTCCTGGATAGCAACTGTTTATTTGTATTGATTGTTAAGATGTTCAAATCGTTTAATACATATTTATTTCCATATTTTTTGCATTCTCATACGTGAAATAATCCTCTAAATACCACTTGAGCTTTAAAATGAACCAGATAATTTTTCACTCATGCGTGTTAACTCTGCAAATTTCATTCGTCCTACGGACTCGTGAAATTATAGAAAACACGCAATCGTGAAAAATTATCGGTAATTTTGAAGCTCTCGTGGTATTATCCCCGATAATTCTCCCATGTTATTGTATACATGGTTGTCATGCTAATTTTTGATACAAACAAACGGTTCCTGATAGCAACTATTTATTTGTATTGATTGTTATGATGTTCAAATCGTTTAATAAATATGTATTTCCATATTTTTTGCATTCTCATACGTGAAATAATCCTCTAAATACCACTTGAGCTTAAAAATGAACCAGATAATTTTGAAGCTCTCGTGGTATTATCCCCGATAATTTTGAGCAACATAAAATGTTGACCATTTATTGGAGGACGAAAATCTGCCATGACTGTACTTGAAACAAAGCACTGTTCTCTAGCTCCTGCTGAAATTGAACCTCCGCAATTATTCGCTAATCTATCATCGCAATGTAAACCAATCGCTACAAAATCGAGAAAAGTTTCACATGATGATGCCAAATTTATTTCAAATAAAGTACAAAAGCATCTTTCAGGTATTATTGTAGAAAGTACGTCTTCCTGGCGAGCACAAGTTCTTGTGACAAAGAACGAAAATCACAAAAAAAGAATGGTTGTTGACTATTCTCGAACAATCAACAAGTTTACTCATCTTGACGCTTATTCTTTACCTAATATCGAAGGGTTGGTGAAAGCAGTCTCAAAGTTTGACGTTTTTAGCACCATTGACCTAGAAAGTGCGTATCACCAGTTTCCTATAAGAGATGATGAAAAACAGATCACTGCTTTTGAAGCTGATGGAAACCTTATCAGTTTAATAGTATCCCTTTTGGTGTGACTGACGGCGTAGCTTGTTTTCAAAGAGTCTCAGATACAATAATCAGGCAAGAGAATCTAGAAGGCGTCTACGCATATCTCGATGATATAACAATTTGTGAGAAAAATCCAGAAGAACACGATAAGAATCTATCAGCTTTTCTGACAGCTGTTAAAAAGTAGAACCTCACTATAAATAAAAGTAAAAGTTCGTTCAACAAAAATACAATTAAACTATTGGGATATCTTATAGGAAACAGAACACTTAAACCTGATCCTGCAAGACTTGAACCTCTACAGACTCTGCCAGTACCAACTGATAAGGCTTCACTTCAAAGAGCTGTGGGCATGCTCGCTCATTATTCTAAATGTATACCTAGATTCTCCAAGAAAGTTCATAGAATTGTTAGTACCAAAAAATTTCCTATGCAAGAGCCTGCTAACACCGATTTTCACAACTTGAAAATTGAAGTAGCAAAATCAGTTGTCACTGCCATTGAAGAAAATATAACTTAGGGATCTCAGTCTGTGTGTTGTAAACAGCCCTGTTATTTGTGACCTCTTCTCTCGACTCACAAATATTGGTTTCAAAAAGCTTAACTTCAATAAAACCGGGTAAGAACCTGTCGACAATGAATTATTAAAGAGACTTGCCAGGGGCGTCGTAAAGGGTCTACAGATAAATTGCTAAATAAAAAACTTACTTACCTACTTACTTACTTACTTACTTACTTACTTCTTTCTTTATGAAGAGCAAGGGGATTCCATCCGGCCCACATGGAAACTTATGAGGTGAATTTTTCTCTGGTTCTATAATCTCAGCACAAGAAACAGAGTATCCAGAAACATCAATGACGTTGGAAAATGATTATTCCGAAGCCTGATGAGTGGTACCTACGGGTCGAGTGAACACTGGAAAAGAAGTCCACAACTTACTTCATAGAACAACAAACAGTCCAAATTATCTCCCGTTTCTCTAAATTTTTTGTGAAGCTTCTTCTTTTCAACAAACGATCTACGCAGCTCAGTATTGAACCACATAGGAAAGTTAGAAGTTCTGAATTTGTTTACTGAAACATTAGGTGATCTGTGATATAAAGTTATCCTCTCCCACAATGTTTCATAAAACCATAGAGCAGCCTGCTCAAGGGTCAAATGATTCATTGAACACCAATTAAAGTTAAAGCAATTCAAGTTTTTTTTTTATAGGTGATGAACATTTGCCAGAAGGTACAAGAAACATGCAAGGAATTTGCATACCAGTGGCGGCATATTGCTACTCGTTCCTTAAACATCCCAATAAATGGACTGCAGAGCATATAGATGAAATATTAGATGTTGGTAGTCAGCTATATGTGAGCAGTTTAAAGAGTCTCCACGTACATAAGTTTGGAAAGGACCTCACGCCCGACGATTTGGACAAATATTGCTACATCCGAAATAAAAAGATTCGTTTTATTATTGAAGATCCCGAAGTTGCGGGTTCAATCAAATCTAATGATAGAACTGTTTTTAATCTAACTAAAGCGCTGACGATATTTTTTGCCCGTCAAAAAGCTGGAATTTTGCAGACTCAAGATACAAATTTAGCCATATGGAAGGATAAATACTTTTATTTTTTCGATGGCAAGCCGAGAACCAAGGATTTATATTACTCGCCTAACGGTACTGCCATTATGGCTAATTTTTACGATATTCCAGCAATAGTCACGGTGATGTTACAACGATCTGGAATGCAAAATTGGCCGTTTGTTATTTGTCCGATTAAAATTTTCAAGGTAAGAACGATTCGATGCTGATTACAGCTATACCTTTTGTACAATAACTTCACAGGTTTTGAATAAAGATGAAGAAGACGATGACGAAAAGACTATGGGCCTTGATACAAGAAGCAACTATGATATTTTGAATGAAAATAAAGCTGTCCTTTTGGGGTCGTACGATTTGGGTGACAAGTGTTTTGGGTTTACTAGGAATAAGCAGAGTTTGCCCATGTCTGTAGTTTGTCTGGTAAGCGAGGATTTGATTTGATTTGCTTCACACACGTATTGCAAACAAAAAATTTTCTACTACCAATAAAATATGTATAAAAAAAATAAATTTAGACTTTACGCACTAGTGCGTGAAGTAATTTACCAGTGTCGACATCTATCATTGACATTACTTTACGCAATAGTGTGTGAAGTGAATTACTTTACGCTGTGACAAAATTGCGATGTTATGTAAGAATTGATATTTCGGTAGCGTGAATAATTCTGTCACATCTTAAAATTTCGTGGTAATATATGCTGAAAAGTAAATTTGATCCGAAGCAGTAAATAACAGTTTTCTGAACCGGTCGCAATCCGAGGAAAATCTTCTGTCTTCTCCTCTTGGGGTGGTTATTGAAAGGTGTTATTAGGGACTCAAAATTAATACCACTCACCACTTTTCTGCTGAAGCTGGAAACACCTTCTTTAACCGCACAAACCGGCACGTAAGATCTTTCTACGCCACCACCAGTGTTTTATAGGGAATTTTAAAACCAGAAAAAAAAAGACTAATTTTGAAAGATTAAAACTAACTTATTTATAAATGAAAAGAAAACTTAGCGTTAATTATTTAGTGATAAAAAAAAGATAAAATAAAATATTTAAAAAAAAAACTAAAAAAAAATAGGTACCTTATTTAATTAATAGACCAATTTTTAACTAAAGAAAAATTAAAGACAATTGAACGAAAGGAGTAATTATTATTAATTAAAAGGTTTAGTTCCCAAATCTGACACTTTATTGGAATTGAAATTAAAAAAAAAAAATACTATCACCTCTTTGGAGAGCTTTTACTGAAACACCGGGCGGCAGATGAACTAGATGATGAGAAACGGATCGAGAACTCGTTGAGACTCTGCGACTTAAATTTCCGGCGAAAACTCGTAGTAAAAACGTGGCGAATTGGCGATAACTGACTTTAACTGGCCTCAACATCTGCTCAAATAAGCGAAAGGAACCAACCTCTGGGTACCGCTTTAAAAGCCCATTGGCTACCCCTTAGTACCGGGCTTGCGAGAATCGACTAAATTAAGGATCTCCAACCCTCTTAGCTATCAGCGATTCGCTAAAAGTACCCTTTGGTTTCTTGTCGTGTTCTCATTGGTTCTCAAGTTTATTTAACCTTCCCCATCCAAAGTGCTCCACCCTGTGATCCAGTTTGATGGCTCTCCAACAGAGTTTGCTAGTTACATCTGGTCAAATTATTAATTGAACCTTTAATGTTTTCCCTTTTAATTGAAAACCTTCCCCTTTTCTAATTACCTAATATGCTTTCTATTCTTATTTCTTAATTTCTAGCCTAGTCGAGTAAATAAAATGAAAGTTCCCTAATTTCTAACCTAATTATCAAGAGTGTAAAATGAACTAAACTATCCTCTATTAATATCTATAATAATAAAATAATTGAGTAATCACTCCTATCTTAACCTACCTATATCTTAATAATTATAACTTAGCATTTGACTATCTTACAGTTAATATTTCACCCCAGTAATAACCCTTGATAATTATATTGTTATACAATTGGTTATTGTATCTTAAAAATCCAGCTCATGTAATTATTGCTTCGCTACACACACATATGCTTCAAATATAATATATCATTCTTTGCTGCGCAATCAGTTACCTGACATCTGGGTTCGTCATAAAACGTGAGTAGTCAGAGATTATCCTTGACTTTGAATAAATTATTACAACCACATGGGATCTGGTTCAGTCGACAGATTAGTTTAAAGTTTAGTATTTATCTCGGAAAACATAAATTTTGCCTATATGATTGTCAATTTTGGGTTACAGCAATAATAATCTTGAAGCTATAAAATTCGATACTTCTCTGGCTTTCAAGTGATTTTTACCATCGAACAGATTAGGCCGTTTGCAGAACTCCGTGTGTTTGTAAATTCCATTAGGGTCACATTTTAGCTATCTATAAAAATAAAACTTTCCCACGAAAGATGAACTTGAACCGAGAATATGAATTTGCTATTGATTTTGATACAACGCACTAGTACGTGAAGTGGAATTTTACATCTTCTAAATAGTGCGTAAAGTGAGTCTTTACGCTCGGTAGTAGAAAAAATTTATTTTCAGGAAAAAGCTGCCTATCTCCTCGTTTTTTTTAAACAATTTACAAATTAACATAAAACTTGGACTTGGACAAAGATGTTTTCTGCGAAGACGAGCACCACCAAATGTTTGCTTTTGCAGAACTACTATTTTCCTTTAAACTTAATTCGAACGACTATCTTCTTTCTAAGGTATATTCCAGAATAACACCCCCAAGCGCCTGGCACAAAACCACTGTGGACAAAATCATGATCGTAGGAAACCAACTATACATCGAATGCATGCAATGCGAAGCAATTACCGAGCTCAAACTCAATACTATTCCTGCTTTCTTTACCGTCGGTCCTTACATAAGTAACTTTTACTATGGTGAAACTTTAATAGTCGATTTATGTTTTTAATTTTTCCAGTCGAAATCCACATCTTCGTAAACAGAATGGTCGACATGATGTACCAAAAATGCGATTGCAATCTGCATTGTTGCCTGGAAAAATATTTCAAGACCAGCACGAATGCCATACTGCAAATTGGTAATTCCCATTTGGCCGTATGGAAGCAGAGAAACATGTATTATTGTTTTGATCCTTATCCACGTGACAGGGAAGGTTACATAAGTAGAGACGGTTACGCTTGTGTCTCAATGCACGCTAATTTGGAATCTCTAGTGGAAGTCATAGCGAATAATTTTGATAACAAGGACTTTGTTTTTAATATTCATGCGTTGAAAATCTGCAAAATTCATCGAGATCCTGTAAGTTTAACTGAACAGTACTGTTGTCCTTGTGAGGGCTATATTGCATATGCTCGTTTCCTTACATCACAGATTTTTATTCAAATATAGGTCCAATCTCGGCGCTTCCCAAAACACATACCTTTAGATGAGTTTCCACCAGAAGACTTCAAAACTTACAAAATGAGAAAAAGCAAAAGACCTGCCACAGAGAAACCGGTTACAGTTGATTACTCGGCTTTGGCCATGCGCAATTTACTGATGGGCGAGACTCCAGAGCCTTCCATTTTTGAAACAGGCTCTAACGTTGACAGCTTAGCCTTGGAGCAAATTCCTCCATTGCTGCATGCCGACAGAATGCCTCCCAAAGCAGAGATGGCAGCACGAAAACCTCTAGATAGAGATGTTATAGCCGATTTGGATTCCCCAAGTTTATCCGACACTCAAATACCACCACCTCGTCCGACCCAACCAAAAGACTTGGAAGATGTGGAGTTTATGGATTTAGATTCGTTTGAACTTACCCAAAAGGAGATTGAAATGGAGGAAATGTACGGTTATGGGGAAGGATTTATGGATATCCCAGAAGGTTATATCTTAGCTATTTAAAATCAATAGTTAGTACGCCTGCTGTTGCAGGTGATAGTTTGGAAAAAGAAATTGATGAAGAAGAATTCCAGGCCGCAATGAATTTGGAACCACAACCGAGCGAAGAAGGGGAGGATTATTATTATTCTGCCGATGAGTATGCGCAGGTCCGGGAGGGATCGTTGGTACCTCGAGTCATTTCGGGACAGGTAACTTTGTTTCTTCTACTGATGGAATTATACTCAGAATACATACCTACTAGAAAGAAACAATTCTTAGATTATATAATTCCAAAAGTAATAACAAATTATCATAATAAATAGTTTTGGAACTATCTATCTAATCTAAACATGGTTTCTTTTTCATTGAACCAAGTAGTGGCAGAGTCTAATCTTAACATAGTTTCAAGAGAAGCGGTATTTCTCAGTAGGTACAGCAAAATAATATTGGGAAATAGACTAAGAAATAAAAGAACTTGTTTATTATCCATTCTCAATATATTTATTTTATCGAACACAGCGTGGAAAGCAGAGCGTGTGAACTCATAGAACTGACTCAACATCAAAAGACAAAGAATTACAAACCCATTCTTAAGTAAACAATTTTTCATCTGAATTATATTTTTGATTCAGAAACTTGTATTTTTAAAAAACATTTATTTTATTAATTAAAATAAAATGGTGACAAAGGAAAATATGTGGATCATATTGCTACGACGTAAGACTCGAAAACAAATGAACCTGACTCTAATTACTATTAGTCTGGCTAAAAAATAATAGAATGAGCTCCAGGAAGCTCTGTACGCTGTATTTATAAGAAATAACTGCCGATGCAGCATTTACGTAGGCAGAATGGTGGTACTACCAGTGCAGTACCGCTGATTAAGCAGTTTTACATTATTATAAGTTTTGACAGAAGCGTACGCTTATAATTAACATAGGAAAGGAGAATTATTAGTATAATGATAACATAGGGTCTTACAATATAAATCCTGTCTCCTTAAGTGGTTGCAAATTGGGATTATCTAACAATGTTGGGCAATTCAATCTGCACCTCAGTTTTAGTTTTACTACATTTTCCTCTAATATATAGAATAAGAATAATGGTTATGCAAATAGAACTTAATACTATGATTATAATATAGGTTGGCACATTATTGGTTGTAAAATCTAACACTGTTAATAGGTCAGTCTTTAAATTGTTTGCTTCTTTAATCGCTGATTAAAGAGCTGCCTGGTCGACTCCTTTTAGTCTTACAGTTGTGGTATTCTCTAGAAGTTCAGGAATGTCGATGATGGGTAGTTCTAGTTCTAGGTTGAAGTTCTCATGCGTGTCTTCCAAAAATATTCGATTATTAATTGTTATTGAACCTTTGGAATTTACGATTGGACTGGAAATGATTTCCATGTACTTCTTCTGGTTACATTGCAGCATTGCTGTCACATGTCGTTTTGGAATAACCAATATTTGATTATTGGGTATTTCTTCAACTGTCGATTCTTCATATTGAATTTTCGTGAATGGGCATAATTGTTGTTCATTAGATACAATGTCGTGTCTACAGGGCTCATCTTGTTTCAATAGTTCCATTTTGCACAAATAAATGTCTTCAATATTTGTACATTTTTGTAAAGGGTTGTAATACGTGTCTGTGGTAAGGATACTTAACACTAATTGTATAATTTTGGATGGGAATAGGAAATAATTTATACAATATAAAAGGTTTAGGATTAACTATTGGTGTGAATATAGTAAAAATGATTAATTCCTTTTGAATTATTACATGAGAGGACATTGTCTCATAGTATTTAATTACGTTATCAAACGGTATTTATTGTCTGGCGGGTATATTTTTCAAAATCAAATTTAATAGCATTTTGTATGTGGCTAATTATCTCGCGTAGTTTACTACTGTGCATATTGATATTTTCTAAAATTAGATTCATCCTTAAGATAGCTTGAATATTTTGATTATCCGTCGAAATATTTCTTATCTTTTCTGAAATTATTATCTGATTATTTTCGATATTTGAAAATTGATCATGAAATGTTTTCGTTACTTGTTTAAGTACGTTCGTTTGATCTTTTAGATTTTTATCAATAGTTTGCTGATTCTCATTTAATGTTTGAATGTAAGAATCATATCTATCGCCGTCATTTGCGTCTAATGTACCATACAGCCATTTCTGTGCTGTACCTATGAAATTGAATACACCACGTTTAATTCGATCGTGTGAAAATTGTTTTACAAATTTCTTTAATGTATTGATACGTGATTGTAGGCAAGTGATTTGCAACTTGTGATAAAGTAACAATTTCGTCTTTATTAGACCATTTGGTTAGATTTAAAGTATTGTTTAAATTCTTTAATGTTATTTCGAGAGCCTTAATACTGTTTCCAATAAGGGTAGTATCAATGTGATAACATGCAGTGTTATGTTGTGTTGTGATGTAAGCGGATCCTATAGAAATCGGTAAAATAGTATTTCTTAATGGAGTTAACGTGTAGGCGTTACTGGAAGTTCCTATGAGGAGGATGATGAAAGCTGCCGGGAACATTTTGTTTTTTCTGAAACAAAATGTTGTCGCTTTACCATTTGTTTATCAAATCTGACTTGTGTTTTAGCACCATAACGAGGACTAATTTTATTTCTGTCAAATTGCTTAATAAAAATAGGATCTTTTAATTCAGGTTCCTTTTCACGTTCTTTATTGATTTTCTCCAAATTCTGTGTTTGTTTTGATATTAATTTGTCATGAATTACATTATTTAGAGTTTCCAATAAATCGGCAAGATTATTGATATAATCTGTGATTATCTTATTTTGTGAATTTTCAATAGGTATTGAATAATTTTAATCGCCTTTAATTATTTGGAAAGGTGTATAACCTGTAACACTATGTATGCTGTTATTATAATTCAAGATTGCAATTACCATTAAGTCATTAATGTTTTTATTAGGGCTTTGTAATTTCAAGCTTGTTAAACTTTCTCTCAGGGTAGAATGTAGTCTTTCTATTGGACTATTAGAATTAGGGTTTTCAAGAGAAGTGTGAATAGTTTGATCGTCTTCGATTACTTCATTATCTTCTTGCATTAAGTCTTTTTCAATTATATCTGTTTCAATTGCATTTTTCTTTAATCTGTTACGTTAAAATTTTGCCTTAACGTAATTGAGGATTTCGAATAAATTCAGTAATTAATTCAGTTATTTTTGAGAATATTTATAAAGCTGTATACCTGAGGTTTAATATTTTTCAGTGATTGATAGGTTGCTCATTGAATTTTGCTAGATTTTTGCCTTTTGGTTGGATGCAAAACAATATCTGGGTGTTGATTAAAGGTATATTTTTCAAGGTAATAATGAGTGAATTCTTTGTATTTAGAGGACAGGGTAGGTTCAGGATAATAAAGCCCTACTGGTAGGATATGAATTCACTTTATTTAGCTTTCGAAAGTTTTCTAAAAGGCCCTAAATGTCGGTGAAAAGGTTTGTTTACTTTCAAATAAATATCAATTGTCAACACTTACGGATCTCGTATTTTCCTTTATTAAAATTTCTGCAACAACACAAATCACTTTAGCACACTCTAAATCGATTTTCCACCCTTATTTCCTTTACTTTTCCCATTTTAAAATGTTTATTTTTCTCAAAAATATAGTGGGGTTATATGCCACTTGTTGATTCGTGTTGGGCAGCACCGTTGCCGGCGTACTTGAACGCTGTGGGTAATATGGAGTCACTGTAACTGTGATCCCTAAACATTCACTGGTCATTTTGATGGTTTTTAGACTAAAGACTAGGTAGATGCTGATTAATAACTTGTATAAGTGGTTAATTAGTGTTAATTGATGTTAGGGAAGAGAATTTGAAAACAACTTGGAGTTTTGTGGGTCATCATTGTGGTTCGGAGTGTTCTGTTTCAAGCTGATTGTGTTCCGATTCAAACTGGGTGTTCCGTCTTCCTGGTCGAGATCGGAAATCTGGCACCAGAGGGCATCTTAAAGAAAAAAACTGGAATTCTAGAAAATTTTTCATATTGAAGCCTACCTAATAAATCGCTGAAAAGGGATCGTTCTCTTTTAAATTCGCACGTTGAGCAAACAACAAGTTCTTGGCAGATTTTACCAGCGGTCCTTTTGGCAACGTTCCTTGGGAACATCCACCTTTTTGTGGGATTTTGAAGACGCTGGGATTTAGTGGTTGCTGGCTTAATTGGTTTTGGGGTGAAAGCTTTGGATTTGGTCGTACCCGTATTTGTAAGCCAACCACACAGAATTTTCTGGAAACGAAATCTACGCCATTTTGTTGGTTTGTCGTGTGAAGCACTAGAGCACATTTGTTCAACTAGCCCAAATTGTAACCAGGTAATTTTAAACGTTTTTACTATTCTCAAATTTACCTTTTCGTTATCAATATTTAGATTAGCTTATCTGAATTTTTGTAAATATTTAGGATCATATAAAAAAAAGAGCAATTTGACCTCCACGAGGCCATGTGCAGACTCATTAATCGTTTGAGGGGCATTAATGGGCTTATTAATTAAGGGGTTTTTGTTTAAGATAATCTACAGGTTTCAGGGGATTTTGCTATTTAATTCCAATCATTTATATACTATTTGAGGGTTGGGATTTTTCATTTTTTTTATAAGTATGAAGGAGTTCTAAGGCTTTTGTACTCTTTCAGGGTTTTTTTTAGGATTGTTTTAGAATCTTTCCCATTGGGTTTTCTCTTTGACGGTTTGCTGGTCTCGAGGCTGAGGTGTCAAGAGTGCCTACAGCACTGATTTGAAATCTAAAATCACATTTTTAAGAGGGAAGTCTATGGAAGCTTATGGGTCTGTTATCAGGGCTGTGATGCTGTCAGGAGGCAGTTATGTAAATGGGTGTCTAAACTGCAGAGAGGACTACAAGGGGTGATGTACCCGTAAATTTATTAACATTTCTCAATTAATATTTTTGATTATTATTGATGGTATTTTCTTGTATTTACTTGGCATACTTCCAAAGTTGTTTTACTGCCTTAATTATTACAAAGGGTGTATAGTACCGATGATTTTTAATGTACTATATTTAAGGTGACATTTTGTACAAACCCGCCCCGGTATACCATGGTATAAGCGTGCACAGGTTTTTAATTATTATCATTAACATCTTTATTTTCTACTTTACTATTATAGATCCATAATACCTAGGAAACGAAATACG